CTTACTGAGTTTTGGCAAGCCATTAAGGGCTGCATGACAGGCAGCCCAGGGCAGATAAATATTAATTTTCTAAATTTTTTAGGGGCCCCACAGGCCAGATAGAATGGCCTGGTGGGCTGCATCTGGCCCCTGGGCCACATTTTGCCCACCCCTGACCTGGACCCACAAGGGTGCTCAGCACAGAGACGGGAGGGAACCCGGGCAACCATCTGCCAGCCCAGTGCTCCACCCACTAGACCCCAGTGTCCCATGCCCAGCACCCAACCCTGCCCTGCTAGGCCTGTCTGGCGCCCATGGTCAGGAGAACACCTCCTGCCCGTCCTCCAGCCGGCCCCTGGCAGCCCCAGATACAGCATCTGCTTCCCACCCAAACAGCACCACCCTCCGCCCTGCCTGCTGTGCTGTACACGCCAGCACACACCCACGGACCCCACTGTGCCCAAGCCCACCAGAGCCCCAACGGCCCTTCTGGGCAGTGTCCAAAGCACCCTGACCAGGGTCTCCAGGCATGGCACTCAGCCCATGGCAGAATCTGCGTTAATGCCATCCCCAACCTAGTCCCAGCAGCGGGGCCAGGGTAGGCTTCATACCTATACGTCAGGGTGTAGCCTGGCCGGCTCTGGCTGATCCGGACCAGGAAGCAGCCCAGAGGCTTGTCCATCAGCAAGTTCTCTGCTTCCCTGAAAGCAAGAGGCACAGTGCCCTGAGCAGCGACCCCGTGCCAGGGGCCCCGGGCACTATCGCTCCCTGGAGCTGCCTGTCCTGGCCCCTGCTCCAGCCAGGGCATCCTCTGTGAGTCTGGGGGGACGTGGGACTCCATCTGCCTGGCTCAGGCATGGGTTTGCCATGCACCCACCCTGGTGTCAGAGAGGTGCAGTAGTGACCCCATCCCCCAGCAAGGCAGGGGCAGCTGAAAGCAGGACGAGGGGCTGGGGCTGCAGTCAGGGGGTGGCTCCGAGTCAGCTGCTCAGCGCAGGTGCTGGGGGATATCCCAGCTCTGCCCCCTCCCCTCTGCCTCCCTACAGGCCTCTGAGGGTTCAGTGGGAGGCCGCGCTCCCTATGGGTGCTGCAGACCTGGTGGGAGCACGAGCTGCCACG